AAAAAAAAATTCATAAATGCATTATTTACAGATCTCTGCAGAAATATGTTTGAAAATTTGTACATAATTCTTTGCAAATTACACTAAATGAAAGTTACAAGATTACAAAAGAATTACAAGAATAAAAACATTTTCACCTAATTTTGAATTTTAATGTGGAGATGTGCCCTCAGTATTTGAAAAGCACACACCAATCGTGATAGGGTTAATCTCTAGATACAAATGCATAATCACCCCACACATACAGCTTTTTACAATAAATTTTACAATAGTAACATACCTTGTGACAGACACTGATTTAGCAAAGCAACCTGACCCGAGATCAAGTACATGTCTAATCGACTGATGACATCTGTCAATGAAGGAATGGTGATGAACGAATATGCAGAGCAAGCCTGGGTAGGAGAAAATGTAAAACCTTAAATTATTTCACAAATTAAACTTACTGTATGCCTGTTTTTAGTACAAGTAATTTATGTTTATATATTTATTTGCTTTTCTAATGTCTTATGTAGCTTAAGTGAAGTTTCTCAAGTATGTCGAACTCCAATATGCAGTATTATTTCACTTACATGCACTTTTGCATGTCGTTTGATTTGTGAAAATATGCCTCCATACTGTTGAAAGCAAAGGCTGGTTAAATTATTTATGAATATTTCATATTTGTTTTAGTGAGTGGGTTATAGAAACACTTAGGTTTAAAATTTTAAAATGCTATAAATGTGCACTATGCGATTTAAACTAGCAATGGCTGGATTACAAACATTCAACAATGTATTATTTAAGCTACAAAACAGATGGCTATTAAACAAGAAGTAACTGAATTAAAAAGACAATATAAAGTATTCCAAAAGCTGGAAATCATTTGTTGCTTAAAGATCATTCTTATAAATGGGTAGTTTTTAAGGTAATAAATAATCTTAACTTTTTTTCATTACATAATAAGATGTTGAAACACCTTGGTAAATTTGTTTATTTTGCTGGAAAATCATTTTTTAGTAAAATAAATGCTACCTATCTCAACAACCAAAGGCCTTGTTTGTTTGTTGAATTTCATGCGAAGCTTCACAAGGGTTATCTGTGATAGCTATCTTTAACTTTGAAATGATAGAATAGAGAGAATGCAGCTAGACATTACCACTCATTACCAACTCTTGTCATACTGAACAGTGGAATTTGACCTTCAACCTAATAATGCATCCACTGCCCCTAAAAGCAAAATGCATTTTCTTAAGGTAACATGACACAAAACATAGATCCTCTGATCCACAGTCCATCAAGCTAATCATTGGACTATACTCAGTCCAAGCTAAGGTCTGTGTGATGAAAATAAAACCAAAATCTTATATAAAAGTTTAATAAAAAAATTATTGCTTTTCTCTGAGAAAGTCTGGGTGTGTTGACTGGATTCCTAACAGACGCTTTATATGTAAGCATATGAAAAATAAAAGTCAATCTTGGTTATTAATGGTTTTTAGTATAGTTCAGTTATCAATCAGTGAAGTAATAATGAAGATGAACAGATAGCACTGCAGTATATGATGTACCAAAAGGAAGCACTAGCAAACATACCAGCACTGAAAAGTCTTTGCAAGTTCCTTACTTTCTATTTTACATTTTTACAAGTGAACAAAGTAAATATTGTTTTAGAACACCAGAAACTCGACAAGTAGTAATTATGTAAACTACCTTTATACAATTGAAAATACTTTCAAAAAGGAAAGCAAATTATACCTAAAATAAAGAGACTATTAGGAGGTTTACAAGTTTTTAAATAATTACTATGGTACTTTTAATCTGTGAAATTATAACTTGTAACTTTTCTGAAACAAAATTTAAGATAACATTGGCTTTTAATTCACATAAATTTTTAAAAACGTTTTTTTTTCTTCTTTCAGCTTGGATAAAAGCTCATATTCTGCAGGGGAAATACAGTGTTACCAGTACCTCAAATGTAAAGAAAGAATGCTGGGCTCTTTATTAGGTATAACAATTGGAGCCTTTTTTTAACAAAAACTTTGTGATATTACACAGGGCTTTCAATCTACTCTCCAAAAATTCTTGAACAACTAATTTAATGCATTTTAATATGTCAAAACAATGGAACACAGTTGTTTTGAGCCCAGTTACTCAACAGTTTATACTGCTTGTTATTCAATAATGCAGTAGCCACATGATGCATGAAAACATGTTATTACGCAATACAAATTACAGTTCATATTTTTGCAAAAATCAAATTTAATTAACTTGTTTTTTTACAGTTTTTTTAGGTTAGACTTTACACTTCTCAATTCTTTTGTAAAGCCATTATCCTCCCTATACATTTGCTGAGATTTTGCATTCATTATCATAATGAAAGAGACCAATTCATTTTGAAAAATGATCAATCTAATTCAAACATGGTTCATACTGAATTATTGAGATCAATTTCAAGGACTTTGTAGGCACTCTCAGAATGTTTTACAAGAACTCTTTGGAAGCTAAGATGTACATCAAAATCAATCAGATTCCACTGAAATTTTATAAAATCAATATGTATTTGTTCAACATATGTTCATGTTCATCCCTGAAATTCTTTGAAATTGAGAATGGGATTTAAAGGGCTTGAAAGTTCTTGAAAAGGGGCCTTTATTTCTACAAAACTACTTGAGAATATTATAATAGCAGAATATATCGAAATATATAGAACTTTAATGCATGTTCCAAGTTGAGTACAATAAATAAAGTCTTTCTTTTCTTTTCAGTTTACATTCCCTGTACAAAGAACTGAATCTAATTTTGGTACTAGATTGAATGAATAAACCAACTGTATCTAAACCAATAAAGTTTTTTCGACAATGTAAAAATAACCAAAACAGTTCATTATGCCAACAATGAAAAACATTAATATCTTTAACAAAAAAGGGGGGTATTTAACTTTACATATACATATATATGTATCTTCCACAGCAAATCATTAAAAACACAACAACAAAGATATATATTACTCAACATGCACATGTTGATCTTGTACAATGAAGTTTTAATAAACAAAAATGGATTTGTACATGTAGTACATAAAACAAAAACACGTAACTAACCGAGTAAAAAACAATTATGGTATATATATTTTAAAAAGAAAAACATTCTACCTTAACAAAACCTGCTGTTTTCCTCGTATGATGGCCTTTTATTATCTGTCTTGTTTTCATGGCCAAATGGTTGACACACTGAAAATAAGAATATAAACAAAATTCCACTTGAATAATTTTACAAGCTTTTTTTACCTATTTAAACAATGTTATAGCATTCATTATTCACAGATTTTCACAGTGAGGTTTAACATGAAACACGTTCTTCACTTTACAAATTTCCATCTCTTTTATTTTAATTCTGACACAATGACACCACAAACAGAATATTCTGGAATTAAAAATGCCATTTTTTTATGAATAACAAACAATTCCGTGATATTGTGGGAATTATACTGTCATGAAGAAGCTTGCATGGTCATAACAGCTGGAAATTTATTGACCAAATATTCTTCAAACTTCTAAAATAAAGTGGACTATCATAATAGCTAGCCAGATCCTAAATAAAATAAGCTTAGGAAAAGTTCATTATAACAAAATTTAAAACAATACTTATGTTGAACATTACTGAAGTTATCTGAATGCTTGATATGCTAGTTTTGTCTCATGGGCTTTCAGCAAGTGTTCAAGAAATTGAAAAGAGAAAATATTAGTTTTGGATTAAAGAACATAAAGATATTCAAGTTGACACAAGTAAATTGGTAACAGTGAGGTCTGTTATCACTAAAAACAGGGTGAAACGTACGTAGAAAGTGCAGTAATAGTTTTAATTATTGTTTTTAGAAAATTAATTGAGCAAACTGGTTTCTGTACAAACATCTTTACCAACTATCAACTCCTAACAGACCTATTCTATAAAAGCTAGAACATAATGTCACATGTGATTAACTCATTTTTAACCCAGACTAGAGAGGCAGAAGTTTAAACCTCTTTAAGTACTTGGTTATCGATATCATAGATTTCAACTATGTTAAAATAAAAAAAAAAACTCAACTTTTCCTAAGCATTTAATTGCAAAATTTACCAGGAATTCTGCACTTAAACAGTCCATTAACCCTTTCTGGACCAAAGGGGTGTCACTCATACTCTCTGATTTGTTCATTCTCACAGTGGAAAATACTTAATTAAATTGCATAAAACTTAGTACAAATTTTCTAAATAGTAATCTAGCTTTTACTTAAAAAAATCAAATGAGAAAGATTTATTGATCACTTAAGACCTCATCTCTCACAATGGCATCACTGTTACCTAAGCCTGATGAGGAATCATGATTTTTGCCACCAATATTCTTAGTTGAGATTAATTAATATCCAATAAATAATTTTATTTTGTTGCTTGAATACTATAAATTTGTCTGTGGTATGTGCCTAATTTTTGTGAACTTCATATTAGAATCTCTTGTTTACCCTTATGGGAGCTCTAGGTAGGCAATATATCAACAAACCATAGCTAAAAACACTTTATTCTATATTGATATAGACAGATTAGAATATTTTCTACCAATCATTTTTAGCCAATGGTTCTATTTTCAAAGTTAAGCTTCATTAGTAATTGTTCAGGTTACATATTATGGCATCATGAAAAGGTGGCAATGAAGATATCTATTTTTGAGTATAAATTGTTGAAATAGAGTTAGACTATTATATTTGTCATTTAAATTTTGAAATTTCATATGCAAGCCTACTCTTGACACTTGAAAGGTGTTGCATGCTAGTACTGATGGGGGTAGATATTTGTCCAATAAGAAAGTGTATGAAACTAGCATACTGTAAAATAACATTAGTGTTTATATTTACGAAACAAATTATACTTTAATATCAAATTGTCCTATCCTACAAAATGCTAAGAAACTGTAAGATGAGATTTAACTCGAAGAAATGAAACTACAAATGAGCCACGGAATGTATAAATTTAATTTATGAACTAATCAAGAGATGTATGATAAAATAATAATTTTTGAAAATTGGTTTGGTAATTCAACCAGATGAACAAGGCTGCAAAATATTCCCTGAATTTTCTACAAACAAAAAAATTGTGTCAAGAAACACAAAAATACATGAACAAATTGAACTAAAATAAGTCGCAGATAACAAAATGTTCAAATATTAATGAAGAAAAAAAAAGTCACCTGAACAAGCTGAACAAGTATAGGATCCAAATTACTAAACGTTGCCCTGGCCTCTACATAGAAGCTCAACTGTTGCTCAAAGTCTCTTCCGTAATCAATCTGTCGTATAAAACGACAAATCAATGCAGAAACCTGCCTCTTTTCATCATCAAGGGTTAAAGCACTGGAAACACACAGTATTATGAACTGAAGATTTTTAAAATAGTTATGTGTAGCATCATGAAAAGTAAAAACAGGAATATACAATTCTTTACAAGATTCCAAGATATCATAATCTATTTTAAGTCAGATTTTAAAAAGTTTTTAAAATAGTTATGTGTAGCATCATGAAAAGTAAAAACAGGAATATACAATTCTTTACAAGATTCCAAAATATCATAATCTATTTTAAGTCAGATTTTGAAAAGTTGTCGATATCACTCCGACAATAAATTATCAAAACATATTTCCTTCACTGAAAAACAAAAATTATATTAACCCCTTCACTGCAACAGGAGTTTTAATTCCCCGAGCAGAACATTTTCTTTGGTAATTTTATTACAATATTGCAGCTTTTGTTATTTAAATTTAAAGCCACTAAAACAGATTGTTTTTATTTTTCTCGTATCATAAGAAAAGGATAACTTGTACAAGAAAAAGCATAGTTTATCCTGTTTTCTTTTCATTTTCTGAAGCTTATCATAGGAACAGTGATACAAGTGATTAAAGCAGTGAATGCCATAAAAAGGCCCAGGATTTATCCCAAAACTTCTATGAAAGCATGTTATCCTGATGATGATGTGGTAGTAAAGCAAGAATGTCATGTGATTTACACAACATATAATCAGTAACCAAGATAAATAGATCTGTGTAAAGATATAGGAAAACAAAATGAAATATGCTACAGATTTCATGGCACAATTCACACACACGTGCATGCACAGATAACACTGTGTAGGCCCTTTGGCATGTATGTCACGGTAAATGGTTAATCTATTGTTGAATATCTTTCCACCATGGAACTGAATGTTTCTGTGCTACATAAAAAACTATGTCATAAAGTTTGGTTAATATATTAAATTGCAAGTCATATAAATAAAATGAAAATTACAGTATTTTCAAAGCCCTGCTGGTAACTAGTTACAGTATGTAATACAATATGCCACTTGTTAACCTTGTACTTCTTATTACATGGTTGGACTAATGTGTTCACAGAATGTTGAAGTTATGTTAAAAGTTAAAAAATTTTTACAGATAGCAAAATAACCTCATATGATATTTCACTCTGCAAAACTATGATTAAAAAATTACCTAACATGAAAGTACAATCATAACAGCACCAAATTTAACTTTGCAAGAGGTAACTACATTTAAAACACTAAAGATAAGTAACACAATGCAAACAAGGTAACAAATTAAGAAACAATGTTATTGTGTCAGTAAAAGCTTCACTTTTAGATATGTACAACTGGATGTGAATTAAAATATAATGCAATCAACAAGTGAGATATGAATAATCATTAAGCTTATATGGAAGTTAAGATAGTAAGTCTGCAAATACACAAATTTCAGTTACAATAGCTAGCTTTAGAATAAAGCAATTCAGTCGAGTGAAGCGAAGACTAAGCATATGCTGACTAACTTGAAACATTTGTAGTTTGGTTTAAAGCCTGATTTCATGTGAAACACAGACTAGAGTTAATAAAGTTTTTACAATTCTCACTTCAGTAGAATTAAACGACTCACATCTTCCATGCTACGGTTATGATTCAGTTTTTAAAATATTAACAAAAACAGGGTTAATGAAGCAGTCTTGAACAACTAGCTAGTTATTTTCAAGGCAAATTTTGATGACTGGTTAAAACAACATAACTTTTTATTTCAGTTTTTATTATTCACAAAAGAAGTTGCTACTGGCTCTCCTTATTAAAACTTATACCAATATCAAAGCTACACTGTAATATACTTAAACTCAATCAATTAAAATGGCTTACTTCACTGAATCATGCATTGTTTTACAAATAAACATCAAAGCATTGATGACGACAGGATCATTTGTAGGCTCTCTCACAGTCCTAGAAAAAAATATTTACATCTTAGACTGAAAATAAAAACAAAACTTCAAAAACTTGCATATTTTTTACAAATAAAGCAATAAAACATTTATTTTCCTTCTTTTCTAAAACATTAGTATAGTGGCAATTTTACCAACACATCATCAAATGCATTAATGAAATAAAAGGACTGGAAAAAGACATGTACTAAAACAACATTTAGAACCAAATCCTTTTCATTTTTTTGTGGGTGGAAACTCTGTCATGTTTCCTGTTTATTTCATAAGTATACAATTTAAAAAAAAAAAGGTGAATGACAGCTTTATCAGACAACAAATACACACAACATTACAATATACTAAAGTGATTGAGCTCAGGACAAAAGTTACAAATAAACAAAGTTTAATTAGAAAAGTATTGACATATTTCACAGTTGCCATACACCATAATAATAAAAAAAAACAAGCTCACCTGACAAAGGTCTCCATGACCATTTTACAAACATCCACTTTCACAGACTCCTTCTGCAGCATGTCAAGGAAGGGAAGAAAGTGGTCCATAGAAAAAAGCATGGCAAAATCATGCATGTGGGAAAGTATCCTATCAAACACGCTCACCAGTTGAGAGTAGTGACTTTCAAAGGCACGATCAGGGTTCATGTGCTTTATGATGTCTCCGAGGAAAGTATTTACTTCACGCTTCTGTAGTAGTGCAGAAGAATGTGGTTAAAACAAGTGCATTCACTCCCAGTTATTTTAGAAAGAAAATGTACATCATTCATCTTAAAAAAATGTTTAAGTATACTAGTCAAGATACCCAGTAATGGCGATATTAAAAAGTAATATTATAAAAGGGGGGCATGGATGTTTTCCATTATTATGAACCATAGCAAATGAACAGTTAATCCTATGATCAGTTGAGCTCTCATTCACAGTGTTAAGGTTTTTTTTTAGTTGTTGTTAAATACCAAGTTACACAATGGGCTATCTGTGCCCTACCCATCATGGTTAGCAAAACCCTATTTTTAGTTATAAACTGTTACTCTTTTGCACTGAGCCACTAAAGGGTGATATTAAGGTAAGAATACTAAAATAGCTGCCAGACTCATAGAATATGTGTGATTATTTATTTACTGCGACTCAATGTTTGGGAGGGGGGCTTCTTGAGTTCCTCTACTAAATTTTATTGAAATTGATTCATACAGTTAGATAGATAGGGATTTGTTTCTATTTTTCCTGCTATATTTGAGTATAAACTTCTAGTTTATGTCAAGTGAGTAAAAAATACTGCATATACAATATACATAAGTTGAAAAACATCAGTACATGAGGCCTAGGCCTTCTTTATACTTTGCATTTGTAAAGGGTTACATTCAATAAAACGTTTTTAAAATAATTATTTATCCATCATTAATGAGAAGTACTCAGCTGTTTATTGACACTTAATGCCTCAGAAATTTTGACACTGACAACACTTTATATTTGCTTTGACCCGTAAATGATCTTTATATTATTGGACATAGAGTAATCTGAGGGATAGACCGGGGCTGAAACACAGCTGTAGAAGTCCCAATAATGTTTCGAGTTATTGCTTAACTTAAAATCTTGGGCTCTACTTAGTCCAGAATAAACAAATACAAGCTGGAAAGATACCATGGTTAGAGGATAACATAGCTCACAAAATAGAATTCTCTACTAAAGGTAAGCTTTGGCACCAGTCAATTTTCGACATTCATCACACAGACGTTAAAAAGAAGCTTTAATAGGATGAGAGCCAAAAAACTACCAGTATTTTAAAATCCTTAGGCAACATCCACATGTATCATCTTTCTTTACAATATACTGACTCATTCTAGTTTAGTTGAACTGTCTAAGCTTTATGTATTAAAACACTATTTTCATATATATGACAACATCTGTTCATAATCTTACAGAGAAAATACATTATTTATTTAAATGTGTCTGTATTATACTCACTGAAAAGTGTTTGACTGGATATTCTATCCATACTTCAGCACAACTCATGTAGTCCTACATAATGAATATATAAAACAATGATACAGTTAGTATACAACAGTCAATTTAATTTAAGTGTAACATCCGTGTTTTTCGTGTTGTTACAATGTTTTGTTCATTTTTCAAAATACATAATCATCATTACACAACAGCTGGAGATGCTAAAGGAATTTCATATCGAGTAAATACCACATATTTTTGAAATAAGATGTGATTTAATAACTTTCTTAGAGAGTTGTCATCTAGGGCTCACTTAGATTTTTATGTATTTTTCTAGCTAAATGCTGCTTAATGTATCTGGAAACTGAACACACCACTGAAATGAAACATACAAAGTGAAGCTATACAGACAACTTGCCAGGTTATTTATGTTAGATAATGTTTTGGATCACTTTCTTGTTCCTTCCTCAGGTCATCTTCGTGGGGTAATCTTTTCCTAGTTCTTTCTTCAGGTCACCTTTGTGAGGTAATCTTTTCCTAGTTCCTTCTACAGATCATTTTCTAATCTAATCCACATGGATACTCTTGTTACACCTCACCTTTATCTCAAAATGAAATAATACATGTCACTGCAGAGACTGTTGGAAGTAATATTTATTCCAAATAAGACAACCTTTCTTTTGTTGTTAGCTGTGCCAGTGAAAATGGATAAGTAGTTGAATCTTCTCTAGATATGGCAGTGTGCTCTGATTAAAAAAATAACAGGAATGTTCAGACAACATTTGAAAATCAGCATGGCCAAGGATATAATGGTTGTTCTACCATGTCTGGCCATTACACCAGACTACAGACATGTGTGAAAGATTTGGCTCCAGAGGCTTATTAATGTGCACTGCTTCAAACATCACTGTGGAGCAGTCCAGAAACTATTTTCATTTATTGAAGGCAGCACAAAACAACATGGTTTTAACAATAACTGCAACCTAAAGAAACTAGCATACTGCATTACAATAATTCAGTCAAACTGAAATCTACTGTTGTGAAATCTACATTAGAATCTATTGTGCATGATGATAATTTTGACTGTGAATCTGCTGGTGATGTTTCATTCCTCCTAAAACCTACTGACTTTGAATTCTATCTCTGCCTGGTTACTATGGGTTAAATCTTGAAATCATGTGATACAAGTTTCAAATATCTGCAACGTTAGAATACGAACACTGCAACATCTCAAGTTCAACCGTTAGTTACGGAAATGAAAGGCATACAAAACAAAGAAAGCATTTACAGGAAGTTGAAACCTCTGAATGAAAGACAGGCAGTACTGGGGTTACTTACTCTGAACCTCATACTAGAAAGGTTTCCTGTAAATTGGATCCTTGTTTTAAAACTCAAATCATATTAACTGGCAAAGATTGTTATTGAGTTACATTATTTTCTGAAGTATTGAATTTGATTCTCTAGGAATTTGATTTTCTGAAAAAGTGTTGCTGGTCTTGATGCCAACCAATTGATTAGTGTCTCCAAGGCAGAGAAAATCCTTATGTTGGAAAACTTGGCCACCTTTTACATAGGCAACATCAACTGTAAGTTCTGGCTTCTGAATACAAGATATCTATTTGACCTGTTGTAAAAGCCATCCAGCTTTTCAAAATAAAGGGAATTCATCAGATTTTTTTTTGCACAGGGTCTCACAGAGATGTATCCAAACTTGAGCTATCATTATTGCTTGATTCTATCTCTGCCAATCACATCTTGGACTTGTGAACATTCTTCAGTATTGAAGCTTATCAAGAGCAAGCTCCATGGCACCACAGCAAAGCAGTGTCTGAGTAACTTGATGGTGCTATCAGATGAGTCAGAATAAGTGAAACTGATCAAGTTAGATACGATTCGTGATTATTGATGTAAATACGTTTTCACTCATTCCTTGAATAATGTTTTCACTGAGCATATTGTGTGCACCTGGTGTACGTTGTATGTATTATTACTACATATATTATGTTACACGTACTATGCATATAGTGTTATGTGTACTATGCATCATGTTTTGTGTATTATACATACATATAGATACAAACATGGAATAATAATTTGGACTACACTATTATGACTGTTACTGCATAAAATGTCACTTTGTTACACATGCATAACTGTAAACAAACTCAAAAAATTCGTGTAAACGTACTGGTTTAACAATATCAACAAAACATATTGAGTATTTATTAGTTCAACAGCCAAAATAACTGTGTAATAAAAACAATTATCGTTAGAATAAAAAACAAAACTTAGAGGGTACACATAAAATGTACTTTTAAAATAATTCATAATGCAAAAAACTCCCATTTTGAATGCAAAGAATAAGATTAAATTAAAGTATCAGGAATGATGGCTTATTGTATTTTTAATTTTTTCCTCAACTACAAAGAAAAACTTACAGCTGGATTTTTAAGTTTAGTTACAACTTTCCACACTTCATTTAACATCTGCAGGCGTTGATCCTCCGGTGGGTCAGCAACTACGAGGCACAGGCCTAGAGTACGATACAAGAGGTGCTGCCGGAGAATAACATTTCATAAAGGATTAATATTCAATATAATCATTACTAGATACAAAGTTATAAAATTATGTGATTCTATTTACCTGTATATTACAAATTTAGGTGATTAAAGTCTAGTTTTTTCTTCCTACAGACTCGAGTTTTTTAACATACCAATGTGAACTGTATCCACTGTGGACAAAATTTTTAGTTGTAATAAGATTAGATATTTTATAGTAACAAAAGATCTATCACTGAAAACAGGTTTCTATTAACAAAGTTAATCTTTACACTTATAAATCCTAAATATACCAAGTTAGATTCAACACATCACTTCTCAGGATCCTTGTTTATATTTGCTGGTTGTTCCAGAAACATTCCTAACAAAACATTACTTTTCTCTTGGTTAATACATTTACGGAGAAGAAGACTATGAATTTTATGCTCTTTAAAAAGATTGCCTATCTTACTACCAACTTCAACTTTCAATAATTATTTTTACAGAAAACACTGTTACTATTATATTATTTTTCAAAGTATATCCCAGCTATTTTTAAAATTAAAAAGACCAAAAAAACATTTCTCTACAAATCTGACCAATGATTGGCTAGGACAAAAAAGCTACATCAAATTAGATTTAAGTTGTTGTTCATTTAAGTTTCTATAATACTTACTTCTATTATTATGGAATTATATTACCAATAGTTTTTATCCTTTAACATGTTCGCAGCATAAGTGATTTCTCTAATTATGCAATAGGAGAGTTAAGCTTCATTGCAAGCTCTGTTTTATGACAGAATAACTGGATTGACAGGTTTCTCTTGAGTGCATCACTGGTGGTACATGATGTCCTGTCTTTACCCATTTAAAATTTGGCTGTCATGTATAATTTTAAAACAAAAATTGATTTAATCATTTAAATTTGTTTTATTTCAGTTGTCCTTTCAACATCGCATCCGTGCTCCACCAATGGTACATGATGGAGGCGTGGCTTTATTATAGCCGTCCATACAGAATAAATGCTTTCATATAGGACTTTGGAGATGTAAGATGCAGTTATATCTTATGAACGTTGTGTACCACTAGTGGCTCATGACGTCCAACAGAAAACATGCAAATGTACCACCGGTGGCGCACGATGTGTGAACGTGTTAAAGATATAATTTTGTAACTGAAAAGGAGGATGGGATTCCATTACTTTTAATAACACTAACTTGAAATTCAAAATTGTTAAAATAAATTTGTTTTTTAGTGAAATAATAAACGTAACGATATTAAGATTCATAAAAAACTTTCATTTTGCTCTACTTCATTATACATTTGAGGTTTAATAGTCGATTAACTTTCTTCTTGACTCAGGTTTTCAGTGACTTCCATGATTAACCAAGTAGAAGAGACGAAATCACAAGATATACAGTAAATACCAGTAATTTCTTATTGCTTATTTAATACTACACCTATCCAGTGAAAGCTTTGACCAGGGTTCAACATTTACAATTTCCAGCCTGTCCAAAACTTTTCTTTTGATGAATAATATGAAGCGATTCATTGCCTGACTTGAAAGGTGAAAACTTTAGTTTTTAATGTTAAAAATAACAACTTGAAAAAAGTACTATAAACTCTCAGGGCCTGTTATCTTAGAGAAATATTGTTCTATAAATGAAAAATATTACAATATTTATATCTTTCTTTGAGCTGAAGAATAAATACATATTGCACACTGTTATTTGTATCATACCTCTAAGTAATGATGCACTCATAACTCCACCTTAGTTGCTTATGAGTAATTACAAAAAAATCTATGAAATTAGATTCTGTCAGATGATAAAAAAATTCAAGAACATCTAAAACAATGTAATAAAAACACAATCGAAATTTTTCTTTTATTTGACAAATTGCCAATGAAAATCAACCAAACAGGGTATGAACTGTGGTATTTGGCAGCTTGTCTCATAATTTCTTGCACGTGGTTGTGAAGAAAGTTGACGGAAATGATGACAGCTTAACAAACAAGACTATCTTACTTTGTGAAGGAAGCTGAAAGAAAAGGTGGCAGCTTGATGAACAAGACTTCCTTACTTTGTGAAGGAAGCTGATAGAAAAGATGGCAGCTTAAAAAAGAGACTAGTTAACTTTGTGAAGGAAGCTGATAGAAAAGGTGGCAGCTTAATGAAGAGGGCTACCTTACTTTGTGAAGGAAGCTGACAGAAAAGGTAGCAGCATAACAAACAAGACTAGTTAACTTTGCAACAATTACCAGTAAACAACCTTTAAAAAACTGAATGAACTGCTTCACAGTTTCAGTATGAATCAAAGTGAGAATGGTGACGTGTCCCTACACAGAAGGATAATTTCCCGAGCATCAAACACAGTGACGAGAAGGAGTGTCACTTACCATTCAAAATGCTGAAAGTATAAAGAGTATGTGATCCACAGAGCCTGTATATTTTTCAGGACAGGTGATCAAAACAGTTAATGTAAAGACCTGTGTGGCTGAAACTTCATTTTTTTTATAGAAAAATACTTAGTAGTGATAATAATAATAATAAAAAATGCAACTGAATTTCCTGAATCTATTTCTGTCTGGGCTAATGAAACCAATAATTTATTTTACATAATCAAATAATTTCAAAGCAAATTTAATACTTTTATAATACAAATCAACTTACTTTTGGAAATCCAGCTTCATCACATTCTTTCATCATTTCTACAAAATCTAGAGCTCTTTTAGCAATGAATTCTGGTTTGAAAGCAGTCATGATAGAGTTGAGGAGAAGGGCACTTCAAATATGTGAGAAAATGATTTGTAGTTTCCTATTTTATAGCTTGATGCACTTATTATAGTTAGGTCATAACAACTATATCAATTGTAAAGAAAATAAGAACACTATAAAGGAAATATTGAAATTTCTTTCCTTACTAGAAGATAACAAAAGAAGTCAAAAAGGAAACTTAAAATTATAAATATAATAAAATAAAATTACAGATACATGTTCTTATTCATTATATGACAGAATTTGTCAAATTTCACTTTTTTTATGAAAAACAAAAATATGATCAAGTTAACTTTTTTACCAAGACTAAAAACAGTCCAGTAAAACATTCTCTAAGAATAGAAACATAATAAATCTTGCAAAGTGTTATCTTCTCTGATTGCTATGACAAATTCAATCTTTTTGAAAACAAAAAACGAAAAAACAATATTTAAATACTAAATATAAGATTACAAAGAAGATAAGCATTCATTTTTACAAACAACAATATTTCCTGAAGAGTCAATACAATCTAAAGACGTGGATTGATCGTTCTCTGATAATTAACATTTCTGATCATTAATTTATCTAAACAAAAGTATATCACCCCTAAAAACTAAACAGACATATATATTATGAAGAACACACACAATTAGATGAGTTCCTCTAAAAAAGGTTTGAGCAAAACTAAATTCCTTTAAATACAGAATGAGGTAATGAAATAAAACAGCTTAATAAAGGGATTTAGCAGAGTGAGCTTTCTATAGATGCAGAAGTCTGGCCATTTTATTTTTTTCTTGAGACCTAACTAGGTTTAAACCACTCTTTCTGAAACCCAAACAGAGATTTGTCCAAGTTGAACTTTATCTGAAGTTATTATAGAAGATTGCTTATATTGTATTCTCTCCAAAGTCTGAAAACAAAGCTGTACTACATTATCTGTAAGATAACAAAATTCTGGAAACAACATAAAGACCATTCTGTAAAAATCTAATTGGGCCTTTAACTACAAAGGATATTAGTACTTTTTAAAGGTTAAACATAGTGGTTAAGCCAGATTTGTGTTTCTATTTCATAGACATTTATTAAATACAATAATGTAATGAAACAAATATGTAGTAACATATATATTTATTAAGTACTTATATCCTGTGCTATATTTTCCTCCCACATTAAATTCATAACTAATACTAAAAAATCTCTCACTTGTGAAAATGTGTACCCTGAAATAATGTCACTTCCACTGATGTCACTTAGCATCTAATTGAAAACCCACAAGTCTCTTGGTTGCTTTGGTGCTAAAATTAACAACCATCAAAAGAAGCGGGAAGTAGAAAGGAATTGTAAAGACTAAGTGTTTTGAGTACAAACTGTATCACAAAATGTGTTTACTTTCCACTTACCATCATCCTAGAATATGCATAATAAAAAGGAGGAAGGAATGAAATTGAAAGAACTAGATGAAGAATAAGCTAAAAACAAAGAAGGACATTGCTTAAAAGTAAATCTACAGTGGTAGTTGCTTTAACATTTTTGTGTTTGTTTGTTTTGAACTTTGCGCAAATCTACACGAGGGCTACCTGCACTACCCATCCCGAATTTAGCAGGGTAAGACCAGAGAGATGGCAGCTAGTCATCACCACCCACTGCCGGTTATTCGCCTACTCTTTTACCAACGAATAGTGGGATTGACCATCACATTATAATGCCCCAAGGCTGAAAGGGCAAGCATGTTTGGTGTTACGGGTATTCGAACCCGTGATCCGCAGATTATGAGTCGAGCACCCTAAAATCTTTGGGAAGAAGAAAAAATAAAGAATTAAACCATCCTTGTACAACGATTTTACAACCATAAAATTCTGAACTCCAGCTGCTGTACAACACAATCAGAACAAATTAGACCTAGCACATTTTATCTAACTTAGAAAATCTAGAGTTCCATAAAACATTGTACTTAATACTAGCTTTCTCGCAGATCTAACCTGTTGCACTGAGATCGACATTTTAGAAGCACTTCTTTTAACACCAATTCTGAGGCTCTGTAGGCTACACAATGAAGTATCCAATCAAGTGCTGGAGAGTAGAGGGTTAGATAAGTTGGAAGGTCAATTTTCTGTTCCACCAAAGTTCTCTGGACAACAGGACTCTGAAGCTTAAACAATGAAAAAAAAACTGTAAATGGAACTTTCTCTTAAACCTTGACTCAGTTAACCTAGTTAACTAAAAAACAAATACAGACAACTGAACTTGAATTGCTACTGTCCTTACTTAGATGCCAAGAAAAAGTCTTTTTGACAAATCAAATCAATATTATGGAATTGTTAACCAAATCAACCAGATGTATTATTTCTGAAAGGATAAGAAGGTACAAACAATTATGATCACAAAAAACAAAATACTCATTTAAGGCAAACTTATCAACTATGTATGGTGGTTTAAATATTAATAAGCAATCACGAAATAAACTTTTATTTCAATCTGTAGCATGTGTTAATCAGTTACAGATAAAGCTAAAATAATGTTAAATCAAAAACTAAATTTTATTTGGTGATTCAGTGTATACTATTTTTCTTTCTGCATAAAAAAAAATGTACAACTGAAAATAATTATCCAATTCGGCTAGAGATCTTACTCAAATGTAATCTATAAGGAATATTCCTATAAAGCTGTAGCAGGCTGTGTTTGATGTATATGTGTGTTTATGTATATATGAATAAATACATTTACAGCATATCTCAGCCAAATCAATACTAGAACATTTGTTAAACATAAATTTTAGTCTTTTATCACCAATAGTCCTTGGACTGATGACATAAAACATTTTATACTTTCTCAAACTTTATTGAAATAGCAAGTACTTCTTTTTTGTGAAATATGAATAAATAGACAACTTTGGATGACGTCAGTATTATTACATAACCATACATTACGTTCTCTACACAAGGTAAGGAAAGGAAAAACAGAAAACCAATGTAATAGTGTTATAACTTCAATAATAAATATTTTCTTACATCTGTCTTGGCAACACTACTGACATACATCTACAGTTATTTTGCACTTTTTTATAACATACATTCCTGAGAGGAAATGCAAGTTCAATGGTGTCTTGTATGTTAGCAAAGTTTGTTCTTATTCTTTAGTGACAAAAAAAACATAAATACATTGTGATCAGACTTTAAACAGTAAGAATTTTAACAAAGATTTGGTTAACTTTGAAAGATTCTGTAAGAAAACTTAAAAGCAGAGTTAAGCTGCACAAGTTCTCCTTCATATGATTAAACAAAGCTTATGACATCATATCTTGTGGAACTAATACTTTAAATATATCCATACATTTTAATGATGCAATGACACTTCACTAAAATAGTATAATTATTCTATGCTCAAAAGCATCAAGCAGTGAACATAGATATAGCAACAACTAATATTAAATCATTTGATATTAGAATAAATATTAGAATTAATGACATTAGATAATTTCCGAAACAATGCAAAATTAATTTAATTATTTTCTATTTTTTAATATATTTCAAATCAAATCACTAATTAACTTTACTTTTATATTTCAAGAAAGATTATAATGCTTCTATCTATCTGCACCATGTATTGAATATGTTGTATTCCAAGGTATCTATCGGCAATGTGTATTGGATACATTGTATTCCAAGGCTAAGAGGGGGCCAAGCACACAGTTGTCTGATCACAATAACAGATTCTAGTACATGGAAGGCCAGGTGTAATGAATTGTTGCAGGAGAACAGAAAAAAAAATTATGGCAGGAAGTTGAAATAAAATGTAAACACTTTATTTACAAAGAAATTCACAAAAAAAGGTGACAATAAGGGCTGATCATCTCATGTTAGAAGATTATATGAAAAGTAAACACTTTTTAAAGAGAAGCATAAAAAGTTGTCAATAAAGGCTGATCATTTGGGGGAATAAGATTCAGTTGTGGTGAGTTGAACAGAATAAACATTGACTTAAGTTTAAAATATTAACTAAAATAAATGAAAGAAGTTACATTTATTAAAATAAACATTACTTGAAAGTAAACTGAAACTAATGGTGGTAATTAATTAAACAAATGTTACACATATATGATCAGCAGGAAGAACAAAGAAATCACAGACTAAACTTCACAGTAAGCCCCAACTCTTCCAAAACAAAAATGAGTCTGACTGAGAACACCAAAACTGCTTTCATGATCCACATTCTCTCTGTAGTTGACCAATCACAACCTTAGATCACAAGTATCTAGAAACATCACTGCTACATATGAAGCTCTAAATTAGTCCCATACGCACAAGACAATATTGGATACAATTATTTCATAAAACAGTGGGCAGCCTCCTTGATAAATCCTCCTACACAACATAACACCTAGGATTGAATTAGCACACAATCTCAACCATATTAACTAAGTGTTAAATGGGAACTATAGACAAAATTTTACAGGAAAGTAGCCTGAAATACCACAAAACAACATAGTATAAAATACAACTGTCTTATAAAACAGTGGGAAGCCTCCTTGATAAATCCATCTAAACAATGTAACACCTAGGATTGAATTAGCATACAACCTTGACCAGAGTTACTAGATGTCATCTAAGAATTATAGACAAAATTTTTATGACTTTTATGAATATGAAATATATACTATAGGAAAATATGTGTTGTATCTGCATACCACAAATATACAGTCTTAATGTTTGTTTTTTTGTTTTTTTTTAATTTCGCGCAAAGCTACCTGAGGGCTATCTGCGCTAGCCGTCCCTAATTTAGCAGTGTAAGAATAGAGGTAAGGCAGCTAGTCATCACCACCCACCGCCAACTCTTGGGCTACTCTTTTACTGACGAATAGTGGGATTGACCATCACATTATAAGGTATTTTTGATGCTAAAAGCAAGTTTCATCTGTGATCTATCTTCTGCTTGATTTGTATGCATAAAGAAAAACATCATTTTATGAAATTCAAACGTTTTCTGTAGTTTATATTTACCTTATTAGTTAAAATTCAAACAGTATAATTCATGAATATTATTATTGCTTTTAACATTGTTTGAGGAAAATGGACACTTTATGTTTCAGGTTGGAATGTCAGTAGCACCAGAAGTTCAGGAGCATGTTCTAGAAAACTTGTGGGATTTTTTGTCAAGTTATAACCAGGTACGAAAAATTCAGTTAAATTAGATCATTAAGACTGATGGCCAGGTGGTTAGGGCGCTCGACTTGCAATCAGAGGGTCGCGGGTTCTAATCCCAGTCCCACCAAACATGCTCGCCCTTTCAGCCGTGGGGGAAACTGGTGCTTTCATTATTCAAAATAAGTTTATTAGATGCAAAATATGTTTGCCTTTTCCTTTTTTTTTAATTTTGTGATTATGGGTAATTAAATGTTTTTTGGTTTTTTTATGTGATTTATTCATTATAGAAATTGTATATTAAATGAAAACACAGGTTTTAGAATTTCTTTTTGTTTTCTATTTATATCATCTGCATTATTAAATTTTTTCAGAAAAACTTGATAAATATTTGATGTTAAATGAGGAATGTTATAAACAAAAATCCATATCAAACCAAATTTTAATTCTTTCTGATACCAATTTCCTAAAACAACAACATAAAATACATCTTTGTTAATAACATTAAACTCTAACTAACAGCTAATTGACAATAAAATATAATACCGTATTATTATTATATGTATACATTTGCAAAAATAAATGCTCACAATTTACTCATTCGGTTTTTGATTACATAACGTATGATCAAAGTTTATCTTCTATGTAATAAAATAATAGAAAAATAAAATAAATCAAACTCACTCTACACAGATAGCAACGAGCAAAAGCTGCCACCAATGGGTCACCTATTCCTCTGATCATTTTTGTCAGGCGCATTAAAGCACGAGAATATTCGCTAGATGTAAAAACAAGAAAACAAGGTACTTCCATATTATTAAAATTATTCTGTCTATGCTGTATCATATGACTAAATTTACTTTGTTTTTATAATGTTTTAACAGAATACTCCTTTTAATTCAAGATACATAGATATTTCATCAGATATTCTAATATTCATTTCACAAGAAGCTAAAGCAACAGGAAGATCTCATATTATTAATTAAAAAAATACTTAATAGATCAAATCTGTCTGATTATAACATGGCATTATCCAAATCTTGAAATATAAGCATAATTTTAGTCCTTTACGATGTCAAATGATTATTTAGATCAATACCTTAAAAACATCAGTATGTTATTTAGAAAAATACTTTAGGTGTGCTAACTGGGGATACACGGGTACCCGGCCAGATAATTGGCCCTGGCCGATTATTAGGCTACCCGGTAATACATGGCTCCGGCTGAGTATAGAAGTTAAAAATAGCCAAATCCGGGTGATTGAAAATGGCATCTAAGCCCTAATCTTTTTGGCAACTTACACAGTACTGAAAGCTACAGACAATAATTGGTTTAGTTAAACAAAACATGTTCCAGGCAACAAAGACTGACCATCCGCTGAAAGTTGGGGATTCAGAGAACAATAGAGGTTAATAAGAGGCATGGCTTGAGAAGTGGATTTCTGGGGAATGTGTTTTTTTTGTGAACAATAGGGGTTAGGGTTTGAGAAGTTTGGGCTAGGCATTAATTGGAATAATTATTCAACATCACTGTTTCTGCATTTACTTTCACTAGCCTCACTTTTGGAAGTCAAATGAAGCTCGATTTCCCACAATGGCCAGGAAAGCAAGGCTTTATCTCTCCACAACTCCGACCAGTGTAGACAGCGAATGGGCTTTTAGCACATCTGGCAACATTATCACTCTGAATAGTCAAGGCTTTTACTCAAAAACACTGAAATGCTAATGTTCCTCAAGTACGATGTAAACAAATTCTAAAAATACAGCCATTCTGCAAACTGGTGTGCACATTTTTTTTTAGTTAATTTTGAAAGTTGAAAGTAAAACTGGAATGTTCTATTGGTGGTTATTCAGTTAAATGTAAGAAACGTCAATTTTGTTTTTTCTTCTAATTTTTGTGTATGTTGTTAGGTTTTGTTTTTTTTTTGGGGGGGGGGTCCCAGTCCCGGTTAACACCCGGCCCCGGCCGAAGCTTAGTGGCCAGATACCTGGACCCAGTATTCGGCCAAATTTTATTACCCGTGCATCCCTAGAGATAACACATATTGTTTATTAGCATTTTGAGATTTGCCATTAATTATGGTAAAAATAAAACAGCAGAAAAATACAACTGATTGTTAAACCCTTCACACAAAATATTTATTTTCTATCCACATCTTCGGAGTATAAAGATTTTGTTGTAAATCAATATTTATTTTGTTAACGTCATTAATTTTCCACATACTAAAGTGTCTCTTTTTATATATACATGCTTTGTGAAAACAAAACACAAATATGAAAGTTTTAACATATCAGAATGTATTGATATTTACTTATTAAATCCTTACTATACATCTTGTTACCCTATATCCCCTCACAGTTTTTCAATTTACATTTTCTTTCACATGTTGTGTCCAGGTTATTAATATTGTCATTTCTTCACATTAAGTAATTAAAACAAATGCATTCATTTGTTAAAATACTGGAAAAACTCTTTAAAAACTTCTTAAGAAAAATAGAAGCATTTATAAATTTTCAAAAATGTTTACATTTTATTTTAATACTTATGGGTTAAGTTTTTCAAACTGTCACAGATTAAACTGTTGAAATTAACTCTACAGAAAAAATACTATCACCACATGAAAAAACATAAATAAAAGTTATATATTTTTAAAAATATGTTGAATGTTGCTGCACTTTAACAGAGTAAACATACCCATGAGTCAAAAAGCTGTAAGACTTTAAGATAGCTGTTTCAACATAAAATCTTGGAATAAGTTCCCGAATAGATGCAATTTTGAAAAACCAATTTCGACAAGTTTCTTTAGCAGATTCTGGGACCTGATCTGGAGTGAAGTTTTCTAAAAAAAAACAATAATAATAATAATTATTTAACAGAATTTCACTTTATAATTATCAGTCAAATGTTTTGAATTAAATTTAGTTACTGTACATAATGATTTAAAAAAGAAACTTCCATATTTTTTACTATTATTTACTCATTATTGGATAAAACTATACATTAAGTATATTTTAGTTTAAATACATACTAAGAACAATGAATAAAACAAAACAGAAAACTTTAGTATCCCCAGCACATGTAGATTTTTAAACTTTCAAGTCTATGATCATAATTTTTCAAGTCTGCAAAGCTTGTAATGACCTAGTTTTCCACTATTTTCTTAAACATCACAATGCTTTTAGATTAGCGGTAGCATTTAATAACAAGTGCTCCTTAGAGCAGAGGTGAAGTACTGATAGTTTTACATTATATTTACTTTTATGAAAAGCTTATTTGAACAATAATATGTGACACAATCCCAACACAATATCTCTATGTGTTGTGACCATATGAAAAGGTCCTATGAGTGTGTATATTTGGCTCTGGAATTTTTTTTTAAACTAATTAGAATTTAATATTTTTCTTTAATTTCATGAAATAATTTTAAATACAGAGTTGCAATGCTAAGATGGAAGATGTTAGATCTACTCTAATATGCAAAGGCTGGTTTTAATGGGAATTTTTAGGGGACTGTAGTATGGTCTGGTAGTCTACGAAACAGGTACTAATCTAGATACTGGTATTCTAAGCTGATAATTTACTATAGAGCTCTTCACCTGGTGGCCTGCAGGTGACATCCAGTCCACAAGGGACAACCAAATGTTGCAGTGACAATCATAAAAAATTGATTTAAAAAACTAATTACAGGTACAAAATCTATGTAAGGTAATTATATTGACATACATAACCAATACAACAAGCACTTAATCTTACTAAAATGTATATTCATGTTATTTTGAGAAATACTCTATGTGTGCACTGTTCCTACAGACACTTAAAAATGTTCATAATGATGCTCTGTTAAATGTTATTAAAGTATTATTCATATGGTGATATTTATTCTGGATACTATCTTTACTTTATGTACATTTATTATGACACATAAAAATGTGCAAAGTAAAATGCTTCTGGCCTGCCTACTCCTAACCTTTTTCCAACCTGGCCCCCTTAAAAAAATAGTGGAAGAGCTCTGATTTACTAGATATAGACTGAAAGTAACAGGTTCTGTAAATCCTTGTTATACTATACTAGTATTAGTAGTAAAAAGTAATAATTTGATCTAAAGTCTTATATAATATGAAGAAAGTTGAATGACTTAAAAAAACCAATATCATTGTATAATATATTTATAATGATTCAAAACCTTTTTAAACAGTAATAAGTACAAAAATTGCTAATAGAAAATTAAACCTTTAACAGTTGAGTTGATGGTTTACAAGTAAGATATTTTCTATAAACTTATAGTGGAAATCTGGAACTGGGGTAGAGACCCAGCATCTTTAAAAACCAATTATAAGAATAATCTTTAAAAACAAGTATTCAGTACACATTTTATCAAACACATAATTAATATCGGAAAAGAAAAAGCCTCCATCAATTTTCATGACAACCAGAGTTATACAACTTTCTGCGATAAAGTATAAGGTTCACAATGCCCATTGTTCCAGATCTAACTAATTGTGGGTAGTTACCACAATTTCAATGTTGCTTAATGAAGCCCAGTTTTTAAGTATAATTGTAAATATTGTGGTGAGCAAGAGGGCAAAAAAAATTGTGCATACTGACTTAATTATGGTTCAGCTTAACCTGATAGAATATGACTCCCCAATCTGGCCAAAATGCAGTGTTCTCTTAGAAGGTGAACAAATGAACCACACATATATATTTATGTTTTTGTTAGCTTAACCTGATAGAATATGACTCCCCAATCTGGCCAAAATGCAGTGTTCTCTTAGAAGGTGAACAAATGAACCACACATATATATTTATGTTTTTGTTTTACATTTTTGTTTTCCTCTTTAATTTTGTCAAATTATATACATGGCCATGGTTGATAAATACTTTTTATTAGTATTTGTTTCTTACAAATGGGTATAACATTGTAACAGTTGTACAGTTAATTTGGGATGTCAGTAATAGAAATGGATTCAAAGATTTGAAATGATACCATAACTAGGTAAAACCCTACAAAGAGTAACCTTTCATGGCCTAGTAATAACCCCTTTCACTAAAGGAGGTACATTCACCATAACCAAGTAAACCCATACACAAAGTAACCTTTACCACAGCTTAGTAATAACCCTTTCACTCAAGGATATACATTCACCATAACTAAATAAAACCCTACACAAAGTAACCTTTACCATGGCCTAGTAATACCTCCTTTCACTAAAGAAGGTACATTCACCATCTGTTGTTGTAAAGCTATAGTGTAATTGTAAAGGTAGTTTGCACAAGTCAAATGGAGGTGCCATCTGTTGGTTGTAATACACATTAATTCAAAAGAAAAATCAACTTTTTGTAAGGCTTTTCAAAATCTGTACAAACACAATGCAGTTTATGTATTTATAAACACACACACACACACATATTTTTATACTGCATAATAAGAAAAAATTAGAAGAATTACTTCTATGATCATGGTACTAAATTTAAATGTGTAAATAACATTACCTGGCAAGGGTACAGGGTATTTGTTACCTGGCTTGTGATATTCAGCCTTCGAGTGAATCCTTTGGTACACTAATGATCCTGTAGGTTTAGAAAACATTCACAATACTGAGTAGCAGTAAAAAATACAAAATCAATGGTAAAATAGATAATTGCTTGAAGTAAAAAAAAATATATTAATAAATTATAAAATTTAATCTTCTCCCTCAAAAAAATTGTTTGTACAAATCAGCATTTTTAACTCTCACAAAAGTGGCATACTTTACAAGAATATGCCTAGGCCTTTTCAGGGGCTGAAACTGGACCCTATTCATAATGCTGTAAAGTCCCAATATTCCGTCAGGTAGTATGTAAATACTTGGCATTTCAATGTAACTTTCATGAAAAAATACAGACGAATAATAATTAATTTTCTTATATAGATTGTTGCAGAAGTTCTCAAAATAAAATATTCTCAAATTCTAGATAAAAACCAATCATGTCTACCTATAAATTGCAAGCTTCACACCAGACATTATATAGTTTTATAAATGCCACCTTCATCTATGAAACTAGAAAAAAGTGTAATTATGAAATCCAGGATTTTTTTTTGTTTTTTGCAATAATCACTTCTTAACTGCCATCAGAGATGATATAAAGAGACAGACATGTTAAATTGGTTTAATACTTTTAATAACTTAAGATTGATTAATCCTACTTATAAGCACACAGATGTCTGCACTTCACCAATGATACAAAGGAAATCTACTATGAAAAAGTTTTTCTCTCAAGGAGGTGCACCACATAATTTCTATGACAAACATTTTATGGGTTATAACTGAATTATTCTGGAATGACAAATGACTCACAGACATTTTAATAAAAATTTTACAATGTTATGTTGGATTTTTCATAAAGCCACACTAGGGGTATCCACTCTAACTGTCCCTAATTTTGAGCTGATTAGGATGGAGGGAAAGCAGCTATTAAACACCACCCACCACCAAATCTTGAAGTACTCTTGTCAGACCAAATACGACCATCAGTTTTATAACATACCAATGTCCAATTGTGGGGCTTAATTGTTTTTTCTGGTAATGGAACACAAATCACAAATTAAACAAAATAATTTCTTAAATATTTTCTTGTAGGTACTATGGAAAAGTAATTTGTTCTAAACCAAATAAAACCTTACTTCACTGTAGCTACTAAACATAGATGCACAAATTCCCTTTGTGTATTTATGTTTAGTAGCGACAGCGAAGTAAGGTTAACAAAACAATTCCAAACTCTAACTAACTATGAATCTACCTGATCTGTGTAGAAATTCACTTAAATAACCTAACATCTTTAACATTCTAGAAACTTCTTAATATACAAGAACTACTTTTTATGTCATTAAGAACTACTTTTCTAACAACAAAATGTCACAAGAAAAAATTAATGAATATAAAACTGGATTAAATAAAATTCTAGTCTCTATTAGGGTCAAGTTCAATTTACTTTTATATGTTTGTTATTATCAAAATACTGTTTTCTTTGTGAATGTTAAAACATTTAGAACATCAAACAAAGAAAACTAAAAACATATTTAACCATGTAAAATAGCAAAAAAAAAAATCCAACTATACAACATAACACAAACTTCTTTATCTTATTGTAAAATATGGAAAATGTATACATATAGTATTCAGGTCAAAAAAAAAACTTACCAAAGTTATCTAATATATCTGTGATAAGAACAAATTTGCTAGGATAAAATTGAATAACTGATGTGTCCACAAGAAGTTTGGCACACTGCAAAACAAAAAATAAATTTAAACACCATCCCAACACAACTTTATGCTATATTTGTAAAAATGTTTCATAAAAAGATACAGACAGCAATGAGAAAGAATACTATTGACTATCATAGAACTGGCAAAAAATATATAACTAAAACTGTAACAAATTACATACATGATAACCATAATCATAGTAATATGCATTTCTCAGCAATATGCAATGTGTACTTACAATATTCCATGTCTATTTAAATTTATTAGTCATTCAGATTCCCCGTTCAAACATATAAGCCTTCTACATCTTTACACAACATATAATACAATGTCTTCATAACTGTCAAGATCTAGTGAAACTCAATAATTTTAATGTAATGTATGGAAAACAAAGGGACTGTTTAATCCTTCAAGGACAGTTGCACACCTATCAGTAATAATTTTAACATATCCTTTATGTTTCAGAAAGTTATTAAAATCCACTTTAAAACTCTGGTAAACTGTGGGCCTCCATTCCTGCACTTGGTAACTCATTCTACAAGTCAATCACTCTGTTATAAAATTAAAACTGTTTTAACTGGAGCCTAGTCTGTCTTTTTTAAACCTTAAATTTCTGTTGTTTCAGTATACGAGAAGAAAACAGATCTCCTTGTCCTAATGATTCTCCATATAATCTTGTAGAGTTCAATAAGGTCATTTCCTTTCTTTTTTAAAATGACTAAAAATTAATTGATCTTAATTTATCCCTATAAAATAACCCTTCCATCCCTGAAATGATCCGAATAGCTCTTTTCTGAACCCTTTTTAACAAGTCAGTATCTTTCCTAAGACAAGGAGACCAAAATGTTACACATTATTCCAAGTGAGGCCTAACTGATGATTTGTACAGCACTATTTTGAATAATTCACAATATTCAAAGTCAGTTACAAACAAGTATTTTTTACATCATTAAATTTCATGTAGCACAATATCTCCATAAGACCGACAAACCACAAGATTTTTTAAAAGATTCAATTATTTCACATTTAGTTACAATATGATTTAGAAAACTCTTAAACGTAATAAAATAAATTTTCTTTTTTTTACCAACACGGTTTGCTAAAATATCCTCAAACCATACAAAATACATCACTCATAACTCTGGAAATCAGAGACAATTCTTCAAACAATAAAAACAATACTTTGTCTCTATGTTTTATTTCTGTTAATAGACAAGTGCAGGCTACCTGAATAGCAATTTTGAGAGCTCTAACTCTTTGGTCTTGATCCCAGGACTGTTTCAAGGCTTGGTTGAGTTCTTCAATTCGATGAACGTATTCTTGCTGAGATAGGTTTAGCATTTCTCTCACTGATCCCTGACGTATCATTACAGAAATTAGGTAAAAAAGAAACATATATATATATATATATATTATACAACCTAGAAGTTCACGTAAATATTTTCATTTTAATTCAAATTATATATAACTTTTACAAAATTATAATAGTAAATTCATTCAATACTTTCTGAAAGCACATAAGAGTGTATTTCAACACTGACAATAAATATGTGTCCTTGAAAAACCTAACTGTTGATAAACTTTTAGTATAAAGTATAAAAAATGAAGTTTTCAATATTACTGAAGTAATACTTTGATGATCTGTTCTCTTGCACTCTATACATTGCAAACATGAGTATGTAACCTACAAAACTAGATGTACTTCCACAAGGTCCGCAAAAGCGTTCTGTTTTAAGAGTAACTAAAACCAAAATTAAAAATAACAAATATTTTTATTTCTTGCTTTTGAAGTTCATACGTCATACTGTGTTGTAGCTGCCTACAGAGTGCATAATTCTTCTCATGATTTATGGCATGCACACATTTTACTGTCGTCATGACAGCACAAATTGCAACATTTAAGCATCCCTTATACGACATCACTTTAGTGTCTACTGACTGACTGACAGAGGACACATCACTGTATAGTGGTGCAAGTGGTTAAAACATTTCTAGAGTTTTAAAACAAAGGCATGCCAAATAAGTAGCAGCTTGTTAAATGCAGAAGCATGAAATAATTATTTTTGTCACTTTTTTTAAAATCACATAAATAAAACAACAAATTATTACAAGACAATTTTTCAGATTAAAAGAACAAATGCCATGGTAATGCATCAACAAACAATTCAATGATGTTAACAGAAAAAACATTATGTGTAGAGCATTAATGTGGGTGTACCTAGAATTCATTAATACCCTTGGGTAAATCCAGTAAGAAAAAGGGTGTGCCTCAAGATTCAGCAACCTTTGATAATACCCTGGGTAGCTCTAGTCAACAAAGGATTTACCCAGGATTTAGCAGTCTATAATAAACCCTGGGTAGCTCTAATCAAAAAAGGATTTACCCAGGATTCAGCAATCTATGATAAACCCTGGGTAGCTCTAATCAATAATAGATGTACCCAGGATTCAGCAACCTATGATAAACCCTGGGTAGCTCTAATCAATAAAGGATGTACCCAGGATTCAGCAACCTATGATAATATCCTGGGTAAATCCAGTCAAATATGGGTGTACCCAGGAATCAGTTGCCTTGGGTAGCTCCAGTAAACAGTGGGCATTCTCCAGAACTTATCTTCCTTTATACCTGTAATAATACCCATGGTAGATCCAGTTGACAGTGGGTTTGTCCCAGGATTCAGTTACCTTTGATAATATCCAGTTGACAGTGGATGTGGCCCCAAGATTAATCAACCATTAATAATACCCTGGATAGATCCAGTTGACATTAGTTGGTCCCACGATACAACCACCTTTCATTATACTGCACGAATATGGGCACATTATAGAGTGAACAAAAGATTATAAAACGTTATTCATGGAAAAGTTAATGGAAACAACCTACACTCTAAATGCTATCTTCAAAATGTTCACTAATGATCTAATACAACCTTAATACATGGTAGACGTACTTTTAATCTGATGCACAACTTTATCAAAATACTTCCCGGTAACAATTTGTTTTATCTTCACTTTCAATCTTAACATTTTCAAGATCATCAATGTATATCAAATTAGCTTTAACAGGGTTTCTATGAACAAGGTAATTTACCTATTAATAGGCAAGTAAATTAAGAAAAAATATATTTCATTTATCAAAACCTTAACTTGAATGTTCTTTTGTATTTTGTGACCAGAGCTCCGACAACCAATTCAACTGTTTACTTAAGATTATCAACTAGCATACCATAATAGTATCAATTAGCTGCAGAACTGAAACTGTTGTAGCTATGATGCTCGGTTAATTTTTCTTTAAGTTAGATACAAATAAGACAATCATAATTTGTACACACAAAGGTTTCAGATACAAGAAATCAAACAGTTTTTATTTGCAACAACAATACAATATATATCAAGATTTTAACAAGAAGGTAGGAAGGAGAAATTACAAAAATAATTAACACTTGCCTCTTCGAAGTCATCAAGTTGTTCTAGTCGGGTTTTGACCTTATCTGTCATTGAACTCTGGGTTTTAACTACAACTAAATAATAGAAGTACAGAATGTGTAAGTAAAAATGAGATAACGTATATTTTTTAGATCCAAAATAGCAACAAACCATCATATTTTAATATTAAGTAGCAGTATACTAAATATTTCAGTACATGGGATATTGACAGAAAAAAGTTTAACTAGAAACTGCATAAATATTCAAGTATGAAATTTTTAACCTGGCTCACTGATGAGGAGTGGAATTCTCCAAAACTA